TTTAATTTAGAACAACATATGTGATCACTGGTCAGATCACTGGTCAGTGGATCAACATGCAGTGGAAGTTCTGCTGTTCTTCTCATCTGGTTCTGGTCCATGAACAACTGGTTGAACCTCCTTCTGTCTCACACGTCCTCACTGTGTCTCTGTAAACTGTCCTCTCTCTAAATGTGCCTGTAGAGTGACATTAGTTTATTTTCTTGCACATTTCTTTGACAGTTAAACATTTTGAGCCCTGATTGAAAATGTTTGTGCAGATTAAATTTACAGCTCTCACTTTGTGTTGTTGTGATGATGATGATGGTGCTCCTGCTGACTTGAGATGATGTCATTAATAAACAGTATAAATAGTAGTAAAAGTACTTTATTAAAGCTTGCTTTACATTTTACATATTTTATAATAAATTGTTTGGAAATTTATTTTTGCACAGTTCACACTTATTTTGTCATCTGTTGTGATTTTAACTAGAAACAGTTTCATTTAAATGAACATTTTAATCAATGAATTACAGTTTTACAATAGTTGTCAGGCTACAATCAGCTCAGTTATCAGGTACTTGGTGCCATAAAAAACAACAAATACAACAATTATATTCAGGTCTCTCTTGTAAATGAGTCCTCGTGGCTCAATGGGACGAACCTGTTTAAATAAAGGTTGAATTAATATCTTCTATAGAAATCAAGAATTCATCCAGATGTTCTGAGGTAAGCTGGAGCAGATCTGAACTACAGGCATGGAGGACAAGGTGGAGCATTATCCTGCAGAGAACATCAGAAACAGCTTTATAACAGGTGTTACTCTGATCTTTTTTTAACGTTATAAAACACTGACATGGCTATATTGATCATTGTATTGCATATACATTATTTTTCTAACAAATATGTGTTTGCAGTCTCGTTTCCTTCTAAAATTTAATGATAAATGTATCAGCTGCTTCTAAAAATGCTTTGATAAAATGCATAGTCTGTGAAATAATCAGTAATCAGTTAAGTAATCAGTTCGTTACTGCTCAATAATTACTGAAAGACGTCAGGTAAAGTAAGAAAAGTCGATTTTTGTGTTATGTTGCGCCAGCAGCCGCTCAAACTGACTGACAGCGATGAGCTGTTTGGAACTATGGGGAGCTGCATGAACCACGTGACCGCGTATCGGCGAGTTCAAAGAGTGTCGCAACTCTCTCTTTACAGGGCTCTGGTGTCTCCCCCCCCGCCCAAAAAAAACATTATCTCCCGTCCACACGGTGGCGGTAGTGCACCTTACAGTTGGTCTGACAACCACCATGAAACAAAAAGGAAGAAGAAGAAGTAGTTTGCGCATGCTCAGACTCGATCTGGGTTCTGGTTCTGGCGAAGATGGCGACGCCGGTTGATCTGGAGTTAAAAAAGGTACGGTCACCCTCCGTTACTCTGTACAGGTGCGCTCTCAGGTTACCTGAGCGTCACGCGATCTCTGTCCTACAAACGGCGCTAACTGTTAGCACGTCGGAGTTACTCGTGGTTAAAACGAGTCTAGGAAAGCCAAAAGTACGGAGGCCGACAGGTGCAACTGCTAAAAGTAGGCTTGCCCCTTCCAGAAATTAAACTAAAAGGGATGCCACCACCACAGATATCATATAATAACTAGATCCAGCATTGACCTGTATCGCCTGTTGGCGCTGTAGGGCCGCCATCTTGGAACGGTCGCCCGCTCCACTCAGTGTGACCTGTTTGTCAGGAGCAATGAAGAATCTGTTGTTGAATCAGTCAGAGCTGAATCTAAACTCATTCTCAGGATTTGTTCCTCTGTAAATCTCAGGAGAACAGACATTAAAGATGAACACATGGTTCAGTGTTTTTAAATATTCTTGGTGGGGTTAACATTAACACTAATAAAATATTACTATGACACGTTTGCAAAACTCACAGTCACTGATACATTTTTATTAAGATATATATATATCTTAATAAAAATGTATCAGTATATATATATATATTCATTCAACCTTTATTTAGACAGGTAATCCCATTGTCCAACATATACATACACACAATTATATCTATTTTATATATAACCACATATTGCCACCATATATATATATACACAGACATTATAATTTCATTATCATATATATATGTAATCTCTATTATTTTTACTGTAGTTTATCGTTGTCATTGTTTACTTTTATTCTTGTCTGTAGTTTATATGTTCTGTCTGGAGCAGGTCTCTTGTAAACGAGTCTTTGTGGCTCAATGAAGCCAATCTGTATAAATAAAAGGTTGAATAAATCATTATGTATGTATGTATGTATAAATATATATATATATATATATATATATATATATATATATAAATAAAACTAACAGGTCTTTGAGGGCCAGAATTGTTGTTGATTGGCAGGTGTTCAAATACTTATTTGCAGCAGTAACACAAATAAATTGTTTTAAAAAAATCTTACATTTTGATTTCCAGATTTTTTTAAATTTAGATTAGGTCTCTCACAGTGGACGCACCTAAGATGAAAATTTCAGACCCCTCCATGATTTCTAAGTGGGGGAACTTGCAAAGTCGCAGGGTGTTCAAATACTTATTTTCCTGAATGTACCTTGTGTCCTCAATGTTTTCATATTGGAGTGATACCTCGTCTCATCCATCCATCCATTCTCTTCCGCTTTTCCGGGGTCAAGTCGCGAGGGTAGCAGCCTAATTATGGAGGCCCAGACTTCCCTCTCCCAAGCCACTTGGGCCCGCTCCTCCAGGGGAATCTCAAGACGTTCCCAGGCCAGCTGAGAAACATAGTCCCTCCAGCGTGTCCTGGGTCTTCTTCTAGGTCTCCTCCCGGTGGGACGTGTCCGGAACACCTGACCAGGGAGGCGTCCAGGAGGCATCCTAACAAGATGCCCGAGCCACCTCAAATGGCTCCTCTCGATGTGGAAAAGCATCGGCTCTACTCTGAGTCCCTCCTGGATGACCAAGCTTCTCACCCTATCTCTAAGGGAGAGCCCAGACTCCCTGTGGAGAAAACTCATTTCGGCTGCTTGTATTTGAGATCTCGTTCTTTTGGTCACAACCCAAAGGTCATGACCATAGATGAGGGTAGGAACGTAGATTGACCGGTAAATTGAGAGGTTTGCCTTTTGACTCGGCTCTCTCTTTACCACGACAGACCGGTACAGCGCCTACTTCACTGCCGACACTGCACCTATCCGCCTATCGATCTCATGCTCCATTTTTCCCTCATTCGTGAACAAGACCCCGAGATACTTAAACTCCTCCACTAGGGGTAGGACCTCCGACCCGGAGAGGGCACTCTACCCTTTTCCGTCTCAAGACCATGGCCTCGGATTTGGAGGAACTGGTCCTCATCCCGGCTGCGTCACACTTGGTTGCAAACCACTCCAGCGAAAGCTGTAGATCACGACCTGATGAAGCCAATAGGACCACATCATCTGCAAAAAGCAGAGATGCGATCCTAAGGCCACCAAAACGGATCCCCCTGTAGTTAGAACACACTCTACGGTCCCCCTTTTTGAATAGGGGGACCACCACCCCAATCTGCCAATCCAGGGGAACTGCCCCCGATGTCCACGCAATATTGCAGAGTTGTGTAAGCCAACAGATCCCCACAACATCCAGAGCCTTAAGGAACTCCGGGCGAATCTCCTCCATCCCTGGGGCCCTGCCACCGAGGAGCTTTTTAACCACCTCGGTGACCTCAGCACCAGAGATTGGTGAGCCCGACCCAAGGTCCCCAGGCTCTGCTTCCTCAGTGGAAAACGTGCCAGTGGGATTGAGGAGGTCTTCAAAATATTCTGCCCACCGACCCACGACATCCCGAGTTGAGGTCAGCAGCACATCCACCCCAGTCTGCCAATCCAGGGGAACTGCCCCCGATGTCCACACAATATTGCAGAGTTGTGTAAGCCAACACAACCCCACAACATCCAGAGCCTTAAGGAACTCCGGGCGAATCTCCTCCACCCCTGGGACCCTGCCACCGAGGAGCTTTTTAACCACCTCGGTGACCTCAGCACCAGAGATTGGCAAGCCCGACCCAAGGTCCCCAGGCTCTGCTTCCTCAGTGGAAGACGTGCCAGTGGGATTGAGGAGGTCTTCAAAATATTCTGCCCACCGACCCACGACATCCCGAGTTGAGGTCAGCAGCACACCATCTCCAGTATAAATAGTGTTGGTGGTGCACCGCTTTCTCCCCCTGGAACATCGGATGGTGGACCAGAATAGCTTCAAAGCCGTATGGAAGTCATTCTTCGTGGCCTCTCTGAACTCCTTCCACGCCCGAGTTTTTTGCCTCAGCGACCACCCATTCCGCATGCCACTTGGACTGCTGGTACCCATCAGCTGCTTCTGGGGTCCCATGGGTCAAAAAGGCCCAATAAGACTTCTTCTTCAGCCTGACAGCATCCCTCACCGCCGGTGTCCACCGCCAGGTTCGAGGGTTTACCGCCACGTCAGGCACTGACAACCTTCCGACCACAGCTCTGATAAGATAAAATTGAAGTCCCCCAGTAGAATAAGGGAGTCCCCAGGAGGCGCATTCTCCAGTACCCCCTCCAATGACTGCAAAAAGGGTGGTTAATCTGAGCTGCTGTTTGTCGCATAAGCACAAACAGTCAGAACCCGTCCCCACACGTAGGCGGAGGTTGGCTACTCTCTCGTTCACCGGGGTGAATCCCAACGTACAGGCACCAAGATGGGGGGGCAACAAGTATGCCCACTCCTGCTTGGCGCCTCTCGCCAGGGGCAACTCCAGAGTGGAAGAGTGTCCAACCCTTCTCAAGGAAACTGGTTCCAGAGCCATGCGTTGAGGTGAGTCCGACTATTTCTAGCCGGAATCTCTCACCCTCACACACCAGCTCAGGCTCCTTCCCCACCAGAGAAGTGACATTCCACGTCCCAATAGCCAATACCTCGTCTCAGTGTTTTATTATAAGAGTGATACTTTGTGTTCTCATTGTTTTCATATTGGAGTGATACCTTGTGCTCTCAGTGTTTTGTTATCAGAGTGATACCTTGTGTCCTCAGTGAGTGATACCTCGTGTTCTCATCATTTTCATATCAGAGTGATACCTTGTGTCCTCAGTGTTTTATTATCAGAGTGATACCTTGTGTCCTCAGTGTTTTATTATCAGAGTGATACCTCGTGTCCTCAGTGAGTGATACCTTGTGTCTTCTCCGTTTTGTTATCAGAGTGATACCTCGTCTCCACTGTGTTTTAATATCAGTGATACCTTGTGTCCTCATTGTTTTTATATCAGAGTGATACCTTGTCTCCTCTGTGTTTTATTATCAGAGTGATACCTCGTGTCCTCAGTTTTAATACAAGAGTAATACCTCTGTCCTCAGTGTTTTAATATCAGAGTGATGCTGCTTGTGTTCACAGGCCTTCTCTGAGCTGCAGGTGAAGATGATTGACACACAGCAGAAGGTGAAGTTGGCCGACCTTCAGATCGATCAGCTGACTCTTGTTCAGAAACGCGCTAAGCTCACGCACACGGAGGTCGCCCTGATGCCTGACAACACACGACTTTACGAAGGCGTTGGCCGTATGTGAGTCTGCTCACCTGCACAGGTAATGTCAGTCAGTACCTGATGTCATGTGACCTGTTTGCTGTTTCAGGTTCATTCTTCAGACAAAGGAGGAGATCAACAACCTGCTGAGGGACAAACAGAAAACTGTTGATGACAAGATCAAAGAGCTGGAGGTAACTCCAGCACCTGTTCCTCACCAGAGCAGATGTCCTGACTTTCTCACCTGTACGTCTCATGTGTCTACTTCACCTGTGTCTCGCAGCAGAAGAAGGTGTATCTGGAGCGCAGCGTCAAAGAAGCTGAGGACAACATCAGAGAGATGCTGCTGTCCAGGAGAGCTCAGTGATTGAAGTCATACCTGTTTCTGTTACCTGCTTATAATAAACTCCAAAAGTTCCCCCAGCTTCCTGTTTGTGTCTACTACTTTTTTTTTATCTTTATTTGCATCAAAGAATAACTAAAACACAAGTGAACATAGCAATGAAAAGAAGAAGGGCCAGGGGGAGCATAAATTCAACAACATAATAAAAGGAAAATTGCAGTCATATTATTCTTGCAGGAAGAAAACAATTTTACAAAATGTAACATTTGTGCCAAGAAGTCTCAAGTAAAAAAAAATCTTTAATACAAAAGATCGTCCTGATGCATGCTCAATAATCCAGGTAGAAAAATCTAAAAAAGTTCAATCTGGTCCTCTGGACATTCCAAAAAAATGTAGAAACGTTTCGTCTCTCGTCCGAGAGACTTCCTCAGTCTGAGGTGCTGTTTTCAGCTCAGTCTCTTAAATAGCACCTTCTCAGGTGAAGGCTGCACAGAAATCTGTCGGAATCAGTCTCCCCACCATCACAGACATCTACACCTCCAGATGCAGGAAGAGGGCCACCTGCATCATGAAGGACCCCACTCACCCAGCACACACACTTTTTGCCCCACTCCCCTCAGGAAGGAGGTTAAGGAGCATTAAGTGTAGAACCACTAGACTGAGGAACAGCTTCTACCCTGAGGCTGTTAGACTCATGAATCTATAACTAGAATAATCACTGTGAAAAACCATATCACGGTGCTGCTGATCTGTTTCATGTTGCTGCTGATCTGTTTCAATGTTGATGTGTTCATGCGTGCACATCTGCTCACAGACTCATGTTCATGTTTGTGCTGATGTTCAATGTTTTATGTTATGAGTGCTTAGTGTATATTTAGTTGATGTTTTTCTTAGTTCATATCTTAGATGTTATTACTGTTTACTCTGACTCTGACTTAGTTTCAAACAAGGAGGCAGGAGAAGTCACAGTTAGGGCTGAGTGTTTCCGTTCCATGAAGAAGAACCAGAAGCCCCATTGTTTGAGTGTAAGTCAAAGGGACCCGACATGTTCACTACAGGGCTGTGTTTTAAGAAGCTAGTAGGACTTTGAAGAAGTACACATTTTATATATGATAGTCAAACTAAATCACATAACATTAACTGGCTACACAAGTTATCTCTGATTGATTAAAGCAACAAAAAAAGCCCAACTTGTGTTTATTTTATTTATTTATTTCTGAGGTACACAAAGGAACAGTTGCTTCAGGTTTGTTATTTTCAAATCAAGTTTCTGTGAATTCTGTCACTGCACAAAAAAAAAAAAAAAAGAATATGATTGAACTGCGGCAGCACGGTGGTGCAACTGGTAGAGCTGCTGCCTCTCAGCGAGCAGGTCCCTGGTTCAAATCCCGGTCCAGGGGCCTTTCTGGGTGGAGTTTGCATGTTCTCTCCGTGCATGCGTGGGTTTTCTCCGGGTGCTCCGGTTTCCTCCCACAGACCAAAAACATGCATGTTAGACTGATTGGTAACTCTAAACTGTCCCTAGGTGTGAGTGAGAGAGTGAATGGTTGTTTGTCTCGTTTGTCTCTATGTGTCCCTGTGATGGACTGGAGACCCGTCCAGGGTGTCCCCCGCCCCTCGCACAGTGATTGCTGGACATGGGCACCGGTGACCCCCGTGACCCAAAAATGGAAGAAACGGGTAAAGAAAATGGATGGATGGATGATTGAACTGCATCAAATGGAACCTGGGTTGTCATGTAATACATAAACTTAGGGAGTATCAGAAAGAATATAACAGTGATGGTTCTCACAGAAATGAGATTGTGTTTTGAGTTCTTTTTAGTTTAATGAGCAAAGTGAGCTTAGACAAAATATATTTTAATATATTTTACATGCTAAAGGTGTCTTAACACTTTTTCTCATTTCACTTTGATCATTTTTAATGATTACTTAAAAGGTTTTTTAATGGTTTTATAATTATGGTTGTCTTTTTATAATAGCACTTGGAGCTGGTACATTTTGGTCTCTTAACAAATATTTGGTATTGTACACAGATGGTGCTGAGGGAATCAAAGCCGGTGGAGTTTCAGGGGTGCCAGTGCACCTGTGTGGCAGGTACAGTCTTGTGCAGCCATGTGGCAGCTCTGCTGTTCCAGACGGCTCACTACTCCCAGTTCAAGCTTCCAGCTGTACCTCCAGTCCGAAGCTGCACAGATACCCAACAGAAGTGGCATAAACCAAGGACAATGGTAACTACATATACATGAGTCTTTAATCCTGTTTATGAATTTTAGTTCAATATTTACAGCAATGTTGTTTTTGGATGCAGGGCATAAAACCTGGTCCAGTAAATGACATGGTCGTCCTGTCAGCAAGACCAAGAGAGAGGAAAATCTTTGAAGGAATTAGGTTTGTTTTAATTTAAAGACCACAGACACACATGCACAATAACACACATGCACAATTTTTTTAATTTAATTTAAAAACAAAACAGAACACATATGTACAACAAAAACTTAATTTAACCATTTAAGTTTATTTTGTGGGCAGCACGGTGGTGCAACTGGTAGAGCTGCTGCCTCTCAACGAGAAGGTTGCTGGTTCAAATCCCAGTCCGGGGGCCTTTCTGGGTGGAGTTTGCATGTTCTCAGTGACCCAAAATGGAAGAAGCGAGTAAAAGATAATGGATGGATGGAAGTTTATTTTGTACTATATTAGAAATACTTTAAAAATGCAAATAAGTAAATAATTCAACTTTGTTTTTAAACAAGACAATAATTTGAATCCCTAAAATACAATAACATAGGCTTCATTTAATATTAATTTTATCATTTGAATATTCATTTCTTGTTTATGACAGTTTTCTTTTTCTCCACAGAAGCAACTTGTATAAAGGTGCTACCAGCCCTCTTCCACTCATCTCCACCCTAAGGATACAGGATGTGTACAAGGGACTTCCAGCTGAAGAAGCTCCAATGATAACCACAATGGCTGTCTCCAACGATGTCCCTCTTGTTGACTCTTTGTTTGGTCCGGTACAAGAGGGAAGCGTTCGGTCATATCAGCTGCCAGCAAGGATAGTTCCCAGGACCCGTCCACACCAAGACGCCCCTTCTCCCCCACAGCTTCCACTCTTCAATTACAGGCTTGAACCCTCCACCTGTGAGTATGTATGTTCAGAACAAGAGCACCACCATATGACGTCCCTTGAGACAACATTAGAGATGTCTCACAAAATTGAGAGCAGCACGCGGAAGCAGAGTTTCTGTGCAGAGTGGCACCAACTAAGAAAGTGTCGTGTTACCTCAACAAGATTTAGGGAGGTCTGTCACACCAGGGGTGACAGCTCTTCTGAAAATCTTGCCAAAAGGCTTCTGAGACCCTCCAGTCAGACTGCTGACCTGCGGCGGGGGCTTGCCTTAGAGCCAACAGCAGTAAAGGAGTACTGCAGGGTAAGGGAAGTCAACCACTACCCCTGTGGGTTCCTGATCCATCCTGACGCACCATGGATGGGGACATCACCAGACAAAATTATTTACGATCCTGAGGAGCAACAACCGTTTGGCCTTTTAGAAATAAAATGCCCAAATGTGACAAGCTGGGTGGACTGCTGTTACATAATGATTAGGGATGGTAGGCAGACACTCAAACGAACACATCCATATTACTGGCAGATCCAGGGACAAATGTTGATTTCAGGGTGTGACTGGTGGGACTTTGTCATTTACACAGAAAATGACATGTTCATTGAGAGGGTTCCTCGTGACATGGAAGTACTGCAAACCATAAAACAAAAGGTTGACCATTTCTTTTTTTATTTTTACCTCAGTGCTTGCCTGGTCAATTAAAGTGGCATTGTAAAGCAAAACCTTTGAATATACGTGATTAAATATATTGTTAATACCTGAGTCATGTTCCTTTTATTTTATTTTAGTTTTAATCAGTTAGAGTTATTTCTGTTTAAGGTCTGATACAATTTATTCTGTATGAAATTTGCTACTTGACTGTCGTAATCATACCCTCTTTGCAAACTGTTTCTGTTTCAACATTTTGTGCTCTAGATGAGTGGCATTATTTTTTTTATTTTTTTTAGCAAGAACAGTTGATACTTTTTGGAGTTCCAGGAAGAGCCATTGTTAGTGCATTTAATTATAAGATTAACAGCATATTACTTAAAATAAAATAGTTTTCATGTATTTATTCATTTTATTAATTCCTATTATATTTATATATATATAGATACCAAAAGAAAAAAGCAAAATCATGAATGAAAAAGAGTAGAAACTTATATCTGCCCCTGTAATCATGCTACGGTACTTTGCAGGCATTTGAAAAGATGCATTTTAATGTCCCACATTAAGGCTTGACTTATATGAAAAAACATTATATAAGAACTGATGTAATGGAAAAAAGTATAAGAAATGTAGATATTTATGAATATGATTTACTTTTATTTAAATACAAAAGTAACAAAATGAAAAGTAAATATATAGTATACTTTCTTGCTATTACTCAGATGTCAGGCTTCTTTGCCCAGGCCTTTACTAGTGGGCCATTTTCATAATTTGTGAGTAGACAAGCAACAGTGAACAGTTGGTTGATTCTCCCAAAAGCACCTAGGGGAATTTCAGAGTCAAATAACTTGTGCTCTTTGACTCGGCGAATGAGGCGCTCCACATGCACCCTGAGGCGTGCTATGGCCTGGGTCTCTCTAACTTCCACTGCAGACATCTGAGACCTGCCAGAGAGAAATGCTGGCCTGTACACTTTGCAGGGGACAATGTCATCAATAAGAAAGCCTCTGTCCACCATAACAGCCATCCCTGGTTTTAACAGGGTGAGGAGACCAGATTCACGTGTGACCTGCTTGTCACTGATAGACCCAGCATACAGTCCTGAGATGAATGTCACTGCCCCACGAGGTGCAATCCCAATCAGCCCTTTCAGAGTGCAGTGGGATTTATAAGATGAAAGCACCTCACTCTGGAGGAGAGGGGAAGATGGGCACCGACACTTCAGCTCAGTGCAATCAAGGATGACTGTAGTGTCAGGGTAGTCTTTGAAGTCTGCTGGTAGATTTTTGCGTATCTGGTCCTCCG